CGTGAGTCCCTGTAGTGAATTGTCAAACCCTCGGGAACCCTCAAACCTGCAGCTGGTGTCAGAAGTGAGAGTTCTCCTGGGCCTCCCAAACCCTGCAGTTTCTTTGGGCAGCAGCGTGAGGACCACCTCCCTGATATTTGAGGGTCTCCCTCCAACACCACAGACCCAGGCCTCTGGTTCAGAGCCCTCTGCAAGAAACTCCAGACCCAGCTAGAATGCAACATAACATCTTCATTTCTTTTCACTGAATGTATTTATTTATTTATTTGACAGAGTCTCACTCCGTCGCCCAGGCTGGAGTGCAGTGACACGATCTCAGCTAACTGCAGCCTCTGCCTCCTGGGTTCAAGCAATTTTTGTGCTTCAGCCTCCTGGGTAGCTGGGACTACAGGTGTGCGACACCACACCCAGCTAATTTTTGTATTTTTATATAGTAGAGACGGGGTTTCACCATGTTGGCCATGTTGGTCTCGAACTCCTGACTTCAGGTGATCTGCCCACCTTGGCCTCCCAAAGTGCTGAGATTACAGGCGTGAGCCACTGCGCCTGGCCTTGGATTTATCTTTATAGCTATCTTCTATCTATATTAAGCAGTACTGATTTTCCATATATGATTGCAGGTTTTAAAATAAATATGTTTAAGCTAAAAAGGGAGTTGATCTTTCAAAAGAGAGAATAATAGTACAGATGGGGTGAAAGTATGTCAGAAGTTGGGAGTATGTGATGACTGAAGTTTGAGAACTATTGTCCTAGAAACATCTTGCACACACCAGCACCACCCCGCCAGCAGGCAAACATAGCTGTCAGCATTTCCTGTTCTAAGCAGAAATTTATCTTCCCTACCACAACCTATGTCCCCCACTCCCCAGTGCTTCTCAACGTTTTCAAAAAGCGACCTGCAGTATGAAATGCATTTCATAGCACACTATCATGTATACTGTTAGATTGAGCCATATGACATTGCTAGTTTTACAGGTCAAACACATTTGAATATTGCCATTTTCAAATGATTCAATTTAATAGATATACTCAGGCTCGGCAAGGTGGCTCATGCCTGTAATCCCAGCAATTTGGGAGGCCGAGGTGGGCAGATCACCTGAAGTCAGGAGTTCGAGACCAGCCTGGCCAACATGGTGAAACCCCATCTCTACTAAAAATACAAAAATTAGCCAGGTATGATGGTGGGCATCTGTGATCTCAGCTGCTTGGGAGGTTGAGGCAGGAGAATCGCTTGAACCTGGGAAGCGGAGGTTGCAGTGAGCTGAGATCGCTCCACTGAGCTCCAGCTTGAGAGACAGAGTGAGACGCCATCTCAAAAACAACAACAACAAAAGACTTAATCCATTGTATATATAAATGTATACTCATACCTAGATGACATCCCCTCCTGATCAGTTAGACATCTGTTCTGCTTTAGGTGGTAGGTGCAAATAATGAAATAATTTTAGTATCCCCCTGTATGTGCATAATATACATATTATAACATATATATGTATACATATATAATGTATATAACATGCTATATATTACACAGTCTTACATTTGAGATTAGTGATGCAGTAATAACATTTATAGTGATGCATTAAAACAATATGTTATTGTAATTATAATTGTCATATTCTATACATTATATATATTATTATATTACATACAATGTTTATGACATGCTATGTATATTATATATATACAATCTTACACTTGTTATTAGTGATGTACTAATGTCTTTTTAAAATTATTCTTTCTTTCTCTCTTTTTTCTTATGCTACTCAGAGCCCACTAAACTGATTTAGTAACCCATGAATGGGCTGTGACCTGAAGTTTGTGAAACATGGTTATGCAAGCCCTGTGACCAGGACCTTGTCTCTTGACTTTGACATGACCCTTAAGCCTGGGTAGAGCTCTGGTCTAAGTCCTGCACTTCAGGGGCCCTGCTGTGGCCTAATCTGGTGGAGCCAAGGGCCTTTAGGAAGTGCCCACCAGCATCTATGCTCTTCTTCACCAAGTTCTAGATCCCTAGGACCCCTGAATTCCTCTCTCAAATTGCTCTGAGCCCATGCCGGGGCCTGCAAGGCCTTCTTGGTGGACACATTCCTAAGCCAAGAAGTGGCCCAGATGGTGGCCATATGTGTACTGGGGGCTGTGGATGGAACTTGGAGGTGCAGGCTGTGGCATCCACACTCATGTATGCAAGGCCCCTCCCAGTGTGGGAAGGGAGTAGAAGTAGGAAGGAGAGGGGATCCCTGTGATCTGGGACTTCCAAACCCTTAAAAATGTTAGGGGTGAGCTGACATTGGGTACCCGCTCCCCTGTGGGGACCATACCAGTGTTCTCAAACTGCCTGCAGGCAGAAGCCAGCCTTGGCTCTCTCTCTGGCCAGAGTCACCCAGCACACAGAGTCACCTGCACCCACCTACCACCATCCTGTCTGCCACACACTAGACTGGCTTCCTTCACTTTATTCCCTGCCTTGGCTTTTTTTATTTTTCTTTTTTAGAAACAGGATCTCACTCTGTCACCCAGGCTGGAATACAGTGGCTCAATCACAGCTCACTAAAATCTCGACCTCCTGGGCTCAAGCAGTTCTCCTGCCTCAGCCTCCTGAGTAGCTGGGACTCTAGGCATGCACCACCACGCCCAGTTAATATTTTTATTTTTTGTAGAGACAAGGTCTCACTATGTTGCCCAGACTGGTCTTGAACGACTGGCCTCAAGTGATCCTCCCGCCTCAGCCTCCCAAAGGGCTGGGGTTATAGGTGTGGGTCACCACGTCCAGCCTTTGTTTATTCCTTGAGGGCCCCAAGGCAGCCCCTGCCTCCTCTTTCCACTCCCCTGTCCCAAATGATCAGAGATCCCGGGGAAAAGACCACAGTGCTTTACTTTTTGTCTGAACAGAGGAGATAACTTGAGGGACAGTCCCCAAGGCGCCAGGCAGCCTTCAGGGGCGGGTAGGGTTGGGGGAGGTAGGAGACTCGGACCGGCAGCCCCGGCTCCAGCTTCATCGTCTGTGCCTTCCCTCTCTGGCCAGGCTCTTCGAGGGGATGCAGGAGGCTGGGCATGGTGAGCTGGCAGGGGGCTTGGTCTTGGGGTGCTCAGCGGGTTGTCGGTTCCTGTTTCTGATGGACTCACCTGCAATAATTCCGGCATAACCCGGACAGCTGTCTGCATTTGCCACCTGTGGGTGAAGGAAATGGTTCAGTCATGAGCTACAGCGATATTGATTCTTCTTGTGTGTTCTGGGGCTGGGGAAGCAGGTTGATCAACCCTGCCCCTAGGGAAGCTCAAAGGCAGCTCCATAAACAGATGATGGAGAAACGCACTGAGAAGCCCTGTGAGAGGCGCTTCCCACACAGGCTCACAGATGAGCCGTTTGGGAACTCCCATTATTTTGTATGTCACTTATTCATTCATTCAGGCACTAAGAACACAGTTGAGGACAAAGAAAAAAATCCCTGCCCTGGCAGAGTTGTCTTTCTATGGGGAAAGACCAACAAGGAGAAAAATAACAAAGTCAAATGTATGAAGGCACTACGTGGGATGGTGTTAAGTCCTCTGATGGGAAATAAGGCCAGGAAGGAGGCATGGAGGCCCAGGAGCTGGGCTCATTCTCACAGGGATGGCTACTGGGGCTTCAATGAGGAGGTGACTTTTTTTTTTTTTTTTTTTTTTTTTTGAGACAGAGTCTTGCTGTGTCACCCAGGCTGGAATGCAGTGGTGCAATCTCGGCTCACTGCAACCTCCACCTCCTGGGTTCAAGTGATTCTCCTGCCTCAGCCTCCCGAGTAGCTGGGATGACAGGCACATGCCACCACGCCCAGCTCATTTTTGTATTTTTAGTAGAGACGGGGTTTCACCATGTTGGCCAAGCTGGTCTTGAACTCCTGGTCTCAAGGGATCTACCTGCCTTGGCCTCCCAAAGTGCTGGGATTACATACGTGAACCACTGCGGCCCGCCAAGGAGGTGACATTTGAGCAAAGGTCTGAAGGAGGTAAGGGAGACACCTGGAGGAAGGGTGTTACAGGCAGAGGGAACAGCAGCGCAAAGGCCTTGAGGTAGGAGGACACAGATGGGCTCCAGAGACTCATCTGTGGCTGGTCCAGAGTGAGGGAGGGGGGACCTTAGAAGCCAAGGGGGCTGGGCGCGGTGGCTCAAGCCTGTAATCCCAGCACTTTGGGAGGCCGAGACGGGCGGATCACGAGGTCAGGAGATCGAGACCAACCTGGCTGACACGGTGAAACCCCGTCTCTACTAAAAAATACAAAAAACTAGCCGGGCGAGGTGGCGGGCGCCTGTAGTCCCAGCTACTCCGGAGGCTGAGGCAGGAGAATGGCGTGAACCCGGGAGGCGGAGCTTGCAGTGAGCTGAGATTCGGCCACTGCACTCCAGCCTGGGCGGCAGAGCGAGACTCCGTCTCAAAGAAAAAAAAAAAAAAAAAAAAAAAAGAAGCCAAGGGTACTTTAGAAAACACCGGCCACCCTTGCCTCCTCCAGTCCCTCAGCTCTCTGGCCTCGTCGTCTTCTACTCACCCGCAGCCTATCCTGTCCTGGCTACTTTGCTTCCTCCGCTGCTACAGCAATGGGCGCAGCTCATTCCTGCCTCCAGGGCTTGGCACTTGCTGCCCTCTCTACCTGGTGATTCATCTTCTCATCATCAGGTGTCAGTTCCAATTTCACCACTCCAGGGAGGGCTTCTCTCCCCACCCCTCTCTTCCCCGTCACTCTGCTTTATTTGGCAAGTATCTTTCTCTGTATCCACTCATTCATGCATTTATTTGCTTATCATCTTCTCCTGACCAGATGTGAGCTCCTGAGGACAGGGACCAGGGCTGCTTGTCACCACCATGCCCCCAGTATCACCCAGCATAGGTTTGGCACAGACGAGATGCCCACAAGTATTTGCTGTTGGAAAAATACATGGCCCCAGAGCTAACGTTCAGGCTCTGCTCTCACACAAACCTGGGTCCAATCCTTCACTGATTCTTTTTTTTTTTTTTTTTTAATTAAAAAAAATTATTTGTGTAGAGACAGGGTCTTGCCATTTTGCCCAGGCTGGTCTTGAACCCCTGGGCTCAAGCCATCCTCCCACCTTGGTCTCCCAAAGTACTGGGATTAGTGAGCCACCGTGACCCGCCAGCAAATGAATTCACTGACTCTTATGTGCTGCGTGACCTTAGGCAAACTCCTTAACTCTCTGAGCCTTAACTTCACCACTGGGGTGAGAATAGAGCCTGGCGCAAAGTCAGGATCAACACACACATGTTGCATAAACGAGGCAAGAGTGCTTGACTCTCAGATTCAGTGGGGATTACGCATATATCAGGAATCATGTTTTATGATTGTTAGAATTCTGCCTCTCCCCTTAAGGCAAAAAAAGATGTGACTATGCTCATTTTCTTGATAAGGAAGTTGGACAAGAGAGGTAATGAAACCTGGCATTTGTTATACAGATTAACTGACAGCTTGTGTTTTATTTCACCCACAACATTTTGAAAATCTTTTTTAAAAATTAGTTTCTCTGCTTGTTATTCTGCCTTTCCCCACACCTTCCTGTCCCTGCGTTGGGCCCTGGACCCCTTGCCCTCTAGTTAAGCATTGGCAGGAGACAGTGGGGTGGGAGGAGAGGGAGGTTTAGGTATCTGATCCCTACCACCCCTGCTCCCTCCTGGTTTGGTCACAAGTGAGGCAGTGGCTGGAACCCTCTTTCTGAGGCCACAGCTCCTGCCAGCAGCCCCACCCCCAGTTCCATCTCTCACCAGGCCTCCTGCAAAGCCAGTATCTCCTCTCGTCCCTCAGGCTGGGGGATAACAGGTCTCCATCCTTGCTGGTCCTAGGACACTGCACCATCTCATTACCCTGACTGTACCTCGGAGATATCACTCTATTAAACGTTCTCCAGTTAACCCTTTGCAGGTCCTTCTGCCACCTGCCATGAATCTGATCAACACAGCTGTCAACATGTGGGTACCAAAAGATTTTACAGAAACATTAAACTCTTAAAAGAGTAGTTACTCTGGCTGCTCCAAGCCTCTATTCTTGCTGGATTGAGTGGGTGAGGTTGTTCCATGAGGCATTTAATCTTCAGGTGTCTCCTCCCAACACAGCCTTGTTTAACCCTTGTTCCCTGCTGGGCCTGGGTGCAGTGAGCTTATGACTGCTGAGGTGGTATGCTGACTGCCAAACGGCCCTTAGTCTCTACCCCTCCCTGTCAGTATCCATGTCCTTTGCCATGTGACTTTGCCTGTCTTCCTATCAAGAGGTGGAGTCTATTTCCTTGAGTGAAGCCCAGCCTTGTGACTTGCTTTGACCTATGGAATGAGGCAGAAGTGATAATGGCCAGTTCTGAGCCTACATGCATTCACTGTCTCTTAGACCCCTGCCACCACCATGTGAACAAGCCCAGGCTAGCTTAGTGAAGGATAAGATGATAAGGCAAGGAGCCAAGGTGCCCCAGAAACAGAGTTTCCTGCTGACCCACAACTGAACTCAGATGCAAGAGTAAATCCAGTTGAGACCAGAAGAATCATCCAGCTGAGCCCCGCCTACATTTTCAAACTATGGTCTTGAGAGCTCAATAAATGGTCATTATTTTAAACCACTGAATTCTGTGGTGGTTTGTATGGATATGCAGCTAATAGATACCTCATTTAAAACAAAATTGCTCAGGGACCTTTGAGAACCCAGCCCTCAGTCATAAGCCCCCTCCTGGTCTTGGTGCCCTTCCTACCCAACCCCAGTTCTCACTGGTGAGGATGATGATGCCTGTGATGAACAGCACAGCTGCGACCAACAGCCCCCGTTTCCGGAGGGTGTGTTCATCTGCAGAGAGAAAAATGAGGGGTAGAGTCAGAGGGGCCTTCACCTTTCCTTCCCCCCTATCTTCCTGTGGATAACTTACCATAGAAGAAGGGGTCATCCTCATGAAAACCTGGAGAGGCAGACAAAGAGCAAGTCAGGGTTCAGCAAAGGTTTGTGAAGTGAATATAAGAATGGCAAAGTCAGGAAAGGGGACACCTGGGTACCCTCAGAACAAAAACCAAAATCCTCACCATGGCACGCAATCTGGTTCCCATTATTCCTCTAATCTCATTTCCTCCCCATTCCCCTCACTCCTTGCACTCCAGTCCTACAGGCCTCCCTGCTGTTGAACATGCAGGCACCTTCTCACCTCAGGGCCTTTGTACTGGCTGTTTCCTATGCCTGGAACACACTTTCTCTAGACATCCGCATGACTCCCTCCTTCACTCCCTTCCCAGTGGGGCCCTCCCTGGTTTTGTATATGAAATACAGGTTGACTATCCCTAATCCCCAAATCCAAAATCCAAAATGCTCCCAAATCTGACACTTTTTGATGTCATGTCAGAGGTGTTTGAACCAGAGCAACTCCATCTCGAATAGGGTAAAATAAGGCTGAGACCTACTGGGTTGTATTCCCCAGAGGTTAGACATTGTTAGTCATAGGATGAGACAGGAGGTCGGCAAAAGATACAGGTCATAAAGGCCTTGCTGATAAGACAAGTTGCAGTAAAGAAGCCAGTTAAATCCACCAAAACCAAGATGGCAATGAGAGTGACCTCTGGTCATCCTCACAGCTCGTTATACGTTAGTTATAATACATTGGCATGCTAAAAGACACTAAAATACCAGCACCATGACAGTTTACAAATGCCATGCAATGTCAGGAACTTACCCTATACAGTATAAAAAGGGGAGGAACCCTCAGTTCCAGGAATTGCCTACCCCTTTCCCAGAAAACTCATGAATCCATCCCTTGTTTAGCATATAATCAAGAAACAACCATAAAAATAGGCTGCTCTGTCTATGGAGTAGCCATTCTTTATTCCTTTACTTTCTTAATAAACTCTATGGACTCACTCTGAATTCTTTTTTGGTGCAGGATCCAAGAGCCCTCTCTTGGGGTCTGGATTGGGACCCCTTTCTGGTAACAGTCTGACATGGCACCAAAAGGAAGTGCCCATTGGAACATTTTGGACTTCAGATTTTTGGGTCAGGAATGCTGAACTGGTAAGTATAATGCAAATATTCTAAAACCCGAAATCTGAAAGACTCCTGGTCCAAAGCATTTTGGATAAGGAATATTCAACCTGTACTCCCCAGTCACTCTCTAACCCTACTTTATTTTTCTTGATAGCAAGTTAAAATCAACTGATACATAATTATTATGATTATTTCTTGTTGTGTTTCTCTTACCACTAGAATAGTCGTTCCATGAGGGCAGAGATTTTGTCTGGCTTGTTCACCACCCTATCTCTGTCCCCTAGAACCTAGCCTAGCACACAACAGGTACTCAGTGAATATTTGTTGAATGAATGGATGAACGGGCTCTCTATGTGACCCATGGGCATATCATTTCCATTCATTCACTCGGGAGTTGACTGGGCAGGAAGTGGAGGATAAGATCACCAGGGAAAGAATCAAATTGCCCCTAGAAACAGAGCTCCCTGCTGACCCACAACTGACCTCAGAGACTTGAGTAAGTCCAGCTGAAACCAGAAGAACCAGCCAGCTGAGCAAACCCTAGATTTCCAAATTGCAGAAATGAGAGCTAAATAAAGTTATCATTTTAAGCCACTGAGTTTTTAGGTGGTTTGTATGCAGCAATAATTTATGCATTCATTTATCTATTCAGACATTTATCATGTGCCCACCCTCTGCCAGACTTGAAGTCATTTACTCTCCCATCACGTGTTTACTGAGAACTATTCTGTGCTGGGCTGTATTCCAGGTGCTGGAAATACACAGTGAACAGAAAATAGCCTGCTTCCCGTCTGGGGAGGCAATTACTGACCAGATGGCTTGAGGGTCTGGGGGTCTGTCTGGACGTCTGTGCTTGGGAATGGTCTCTCAGAGAGCGTCGTGGTGTCTTCAGTGGGATGAGCTGAGAGAGTGGCCATCAGTGGAGGGCAGGAGTGAGCCATGGAGGCAAAAACAAGGGATATTACTGAGATCCTGCACCTGGAAGAAATCCCTCTCCCACATCTACACAGCTGGTGTGCAGGGTCAGGCATCCCCCCTACTCCATACCAGAGGCAATAAGTAATGGCAGGCATTAAAATGCTGAAATAAGCATGTACCCCCTGGTTATGACTATCTGATCTGCCTCAATCCCTGAGGGACTCCAGACACCTCTCCTAAGACCTTTTGGCCCACACTATAATCCAGGAGATAAAGGAACTAAAAAGCAACACCTGCCAGGGACTCTGACCCAGCTACATAGTCTGGAGACACTTTTAAAACATTCTGAATATTGTCCAGGTGCAGCAGCTCATGCCTGTAACCCCAGCACTTTGGGAGACTGAGGCGGGCAGATCACCTGAAGCCAGGAGTTCAAGACCAGCCTGGCCAACACAGTGAAACCCCGTATCTACTAAAAATACAAATATTAGCCGGGACTGGTGGCACACACCTGTAATCCCAGGTACGCGGGAGGCTGGCAGGAGAATTGCCTGAACGCGGGAGGCGGAGTTTGCAGTGAGACGACATTTCACCACTGCACTCCAGTCTGGGCAACAGAGCAAGACTCCATCTCAAAAACAACAACAACAACAACAAAAGTATTCTGAATATCATTTCTGCCCCCAGGACGGAAAATACCAAAGGATTCTTCTCTTGAAAAAAAAAAAAAGGGCTGGACGTGGTGGCTCACGCCTGTAATCCCAGCACTTTGGGAGGTTGAGGCAGGCGGATCATGAGGTCAGGAGATTGAGACCATCCTGGCTAACATGGTGAAGCCCCATCTCTGCTAAAAATACAAAAAAAGTTAGCCGGGTGTGGTGGTGGGCACCTGTAGTCCCACCTACTCGGGAGGCTGAGGCAGGAGAATTTTGAACCAGGGAGGAGGAGCTTGCAGTGAGCTGAGATTGTGCCACTGCACTTCAGCCTGGGTGAAAGTGCAAGACTCTGCCTCAAAAAAAAAAAAAAAAAAAAAAATCAGTACCTCCAAAGAAAAGGCCTCCCCCAGCACTGAGAAGTGCCACCACACCACATCTGAGGCCTCAACAAGAAGCCAGCAGGCAGAGAAGCTCCCTCATGAAACCCAAGTTCCCTGGAACTATCTCGGTGCCTCACACCCTAAATAGGAGCTGGCAGCCAAGGATTACAAGATATTCAGGGAATGCATTGCCCAGAGGAAGGCATAAGCCAGATCAACGGCAGAGACCACAGGAATGCAAAGGACAGCCATACTGGTGTGCAGTGCTCATGCACCCCGGGGCAAGACAGTCTAGACTCAAATTCTGGTTCTACCACTCGTGGCTGTATTGCCTAAGGCAAGCTGAGTAACCTTTCTGGGCCTCAGTTCCCTTTCCTGTAAAATGGGAGTAATGACAGTTCCCACCACACAAGATGATCACAAGCATCGAATGACTGAATATACAAAAGTTTAGCACAGTGCCCAGCATGAATAAGCTCTCAGCAAAAGTCAGCCTTGGCTGTTAATGTTTGCTCAGCACTCCCTCCTCCTTCTGGAATAACTCCCCCTTTCTTTGTGGGAGGACATTGCCCTCCCTTCCCCAGTTATAACCCAGGCTACAAAAGGAAGTATGTGACTTTCCCTGAGACCTTTGAAATCCCAAGTAGGGATATTGAGTGATAGCTAGGTACTATAGACTGAATTCTATCCACCCCACGGAATTTCGTATGTGATGGTATTTGGAGCGAGGGCTTTTGGGAGGTAATTAGGGTTAGATAGGATCATGAGGGTGGGGCCCTCATGATGGGATTAGTGCCCTTATAAGAAGACACCAGAGAGCTTGCTCTCAAGCTCACAAGCCCACCCACACATGGAGAGGACATGGTGAAGACAGAGCAAGAGAATGGTTGTCTGTGACCCAAGGGGAGCCCTCGCCAGAAACCAACACTGCTGGCACCTCGATCATGGACTTCCCATCTCCAGAACCGGGAGAAATTAATTCCTATTGTTTAAGTCATGCAGTCTGTGGTATTTTGTTACGGTAACCTGAGCAGATTAAAACCCTAGGTGAAGCCTGGAAGCTTTGAGCTAGGAAGCTCAAATAGGAAGGAGCCATTTCCTTCCTAGGTGGAAGAGAAGCAAAGATAGAGGAGGAAGAGAGGCCTGGGGGCTTTCATGCCTAGCCTCTAAGCAACCCAGAGGCTCAGCAGTGACAGTCATTTATCCTTGATGAATTTCTGTCACATATATCGAGGAACATGGACCAATACATAGAGCAACTCAGGTCAGCAAAGACTCAGTAAATTAATGCAGAGATGTGAGAATGCTTTATCAATTGATAAGTGTGGACACAGCTGCTATCCCCCACCACCTACAGGTCCACTTTTGTGCAAAACAGAAAAGTTCCCTTCTGTAAGGCACTTTATTTCCATCTGTTGTAGGATTGTTTTAATAGATTCTGTAAGAATGAGATGCTTTACTGCTGTCACTAGAAAACTGGAACAGTTATAAAGACCGACAAAGGGAATAGCATAGCCTCAGAGGTGGTGCTCTTGTTTAGTGCCCAGTCTGCACAACTGTACATGTCTCTCAGCCTGGGAGTGGCCTACACCACAATACTTTCCAGTTGGGGGGCTGCCCCTCAAATAAGGATCATCACACAGGCATTAGAGGCGATCTGTTGCCTTATCTCAGCTCAGTCTCCTTTCCCACACCTTCTGGTAATACTAACTCACTTGTCCAGAGGAAACCCCTCTCTTCCCTGACTGTTGGTCTGTGGTCTGTGTGGTTCAGGCATGGCTGGCTGAGCCTCTTCTCTAGCCCCAGGGTGAGGAACGAGACTCAGGCCTAACCAATGAGAATAGCTCATTTCTCAGGCTCTCATTGGTTCAGACATGAGCATGTGACTCCAGCTGGACCAATGAGAATCAATTCTAGACCTCAGGCTAGAAATAATGGGAAAGATTTTGTTCTCCAGCCACCAGGTATGTGACCTAAAGTTAGAACTATGGGACCATCTCTGCCATCCAGAGGGGAGAAGTTAGTCGAGAATGAAGACAACAGAACCAAGAGAGGGAACAAAGCATTCATGACAGTGCTTATGCGCCTTGATCCAGCTATGCCTGAAGTTGGATACTTCTAGACTTTCCAGAACTTATACAGCCAATCAGTCGTGTGTGTGTGTGTGTGTGTGTGTGTGTGTGTGTGTGTGTGTGTTTAAGGTGAATTTTCTATATTTTGCAACTGAAAAGCTCCTGTTCTAACATTAAGGAGATGTACAAAAAAGAAATATCCACAGGCACATTTTATAGCACCAGCCTCCAAGGGGAACTGACGGCAAGAAAGTTCTACCAGTTAGGGAAACACTGCATACTGCACGCTGCCCCTTGGGGATCCTTTGCTGCAAATTAGCTTAATCAAGACTCTCAGAAGTCCTGCCATAAAGAAACATGGTTAACTTTAACTCAGGGTTCCCCAAATAACTTTGACCACAAACCAAAAACATTTTTTTAAAATGTGTTAACAATTCCCCAAACAGGGGCACCGAGAAACGTACTGAGGGAAATGTTGACCTAGATAGAGAATTAAATAAAAATCGTAGGCTTTTGCTCTCAGTCCCATGCCGTACCTGTTTTGGTGCTCTTGTGTGTCTCTGGATCTGTCACTACAGGCCCATCCATTCCTGTCGGTCGCTGGGTCTGGGTCTGGGTCTGGGGTTGTGGTGTTTCTATTCAGGTCAGAAGAGCAAGGAGGGAAGAAGAAGAAAGAGTGAATTGGGGTCGGGCACGGTGGTTCATGTCTGTATTCCCAGCACTTTGGGAGGCCGAGGCGGGCAGATTACCTGAGGTCGGGAGTTCAAGACCAGCCTGACCAACATGGAGAAACCCTGTCTCTACTAAAAATACAAAATTAGCCAGGCATGGTGTCTCATGCCTGTAATCACAGCTACTTGGGAGGCTGAGGGAGAAGAATCACTTGAACCCGGGAGGCGGAGGTTGTGGTGAGCCGAGATTGCGCCATTGCACTCCAGCCTGGGCAACAAGAGCAAAACTCCATCTCAGAAAAAAATTAAGAGGCTGGCAAAACCTGAAGACGTCAATATACCAAGTGTCACTGTAGGGATGGGAAGGGGGACACTCTCCTGCACACTGCTGGTGGGTGAGGAAGTGGGCACAGCCACTTGGGAAGGCAACTTTTATTTTTACTTTTATTTATTTATTTATTTTTGAGACAGGGTCTCACTCTGGCCTGAGCTGGAGTGTAGTGGTGCAATCGTAGCTCACCGCAGCCTTGAACTCCTGGGCTCAAGTGATTCTCCCACCTTAGCCTCCCAGGTAGTTGGGACTACAGGCACATGCCACCATGCCCAGCTAATCATTTTGTACTTTTTGTAGAGAATAGGTTTTGCTTTGTTGCCCAGGCTGGTCTCAAATTCCTGGGCTCAAGCGATCCACCCGCCTCAGCCTCCAAAAGTGCTGGGATGTCAGGCATGAGCCACTGTGCCTGGGCGGCAGGAGGGCAAATTTTGAAACATGAAACATGCATCTTCTTTGCCCTGTACTGTTTTGGATAAAAGCACAGGCTCTGGTGCCAGATTCCTGGACTTTGATTCCTGCTGCGTCCGTGACTTGCTGTGAGACCTTGAACCAGTTACTCAGCGCCTCTGTTTCCTTGTCTGTAAAATGGGGACAATGGTAATTTCTGCCTCTTAGGGTTTGCGTGAAGGCTGAATGAGTTAACCTACGCAAAATATTTAGAACTATGACCAGCGCATAGTCAGTACATATTCCAAGTGCGTTTGCTCAAGGAGGAAGGGACAAGGTTGCTTATTGTGGCACTGTGTGTAGACAGAAAAAGCTGGAAAGGGCCAACATGTGCATCAAGAAGTGTGTGACTCCATGAGCTGTGACATAGGCGCCTTGTGAAATACCAGGCAGCAGAGAAAGCAAAATAAGTCTTTATTGCAGTGATGTGATACCAAACATGCAGTGATACCAAACATGCGACTGCATGAAGAAGCAAAGCAAGTTGGAGAACAATCATCCGATCTCCTTAAGCTCACACAAACACAGCACACAGTCAGTGCATTTTCTCCAGGTGATACACATGGGATATGGTATCACTGGGGACCTACCCCAATGCTAACAGTGGGGACCTCTCGGAGACAGAGGGAGAGAACAAGGATTGGGGAGGGGAGGTGACAAAGGGGTTTAGTTCTACCTACAATCATTTCATTCTTTCCGGGTAGAATGTGTTTATGTACTACTGTGTCTTTAAACATCGATTGAAAAAATTGGGGAGCACCTTTTTTTTTTTTGAGACAGGGTCTCGCTCTGTTGCCCAGGCTGGAGTGCAATGGCGAGATCTTGGCTCACTGCAACCTCTGCCTCCGGGTTCAAGTGATTCTCCCACCTCAGCCTTTTGAGTGGCTGGGACTACAGGAGCACACCAATGCACTTGGCAAATTTTTGTATTTTTCTGTAAAGATGGAGTCTCACTGTGTTGCCCAGGCTGGTCTAGAACTCCTGAGCTCAAGTGATCCATCCACCTTGGCCTCTCACAGTACTGGGATTATAGGCGTGATCCACCGTGCCTGGCCGGGAGCACTTTTTGAATTATACTCCAAGAAAGCATCCAAAAATTGTTCAAAAAATTCAAAAAAGGGATCAGAGAAAAAAGAGATGAAAGGAAGAAATAAATGGGACTGGCACACAGAGGCTTTCTGGGGGTGTTTGCAAAGCTCTGCTCTTTGACCTGGTTGGTAGTTCCATAGGGATTCAATTTAGAGTAAGTCATTACATTGTAAATTTATGGGTTTTGTATTTTTCTATATGCACGCTAATTTCACAATTTCAAAGGTGTTTTGGTTTTCTTTTTCTAAAAAATTGAATGGAGTTGGCTGGCTGCCCCACCCAAAGTAAACCAGGGCATTCAGAGCTGGGAGCAGGGACTGAAATGGGCAACCAAAGACCTAGAATGTCAGAGAAGAGGGGAAACTTCGTTTGCCCTGGTCCTGTCCCCATCCCCTGCCCCTGTGCTACTCACCATCAGCAGGCCAGGTTGGGGTCGGAGGGGTGGCCTGGAGTTCTGTGTAGACTGCGTCTGGTGTCCAGAAACAAGGGGTCAGGGAGAGAACAGGAGAGAGAAAAAGAAGTGGACAAGATCTATGGATGGAGATGCCAAAGATTCCCATAGCAACTCAATTTTAATGTAATAGAAATGGCTTAATTAATCCAGCCATTTGCTAACTGCTGAAATGTGCTACCAATATGTCCTCTTCTTGGAGACCTTACGTCCCACAGATGCCACACTACAGCTCCTTCTTCGAGATGCTGGCTGCAAATTAGCTTTCTCAAGACTCTGAGAAGTGCTGCCTAAAAAAAAAGTGTTTAGGCCGGGCGCGGTGGCTCAAGCCTGTAATCCCAGCACTTTGGGAGGCCGAGACGGGCGGATCACGAGGTCAGGAGATCGAGACCATCCTGGTGAACACCGTGAAACCCCATCTCTACTAAAAAAATACAAAAAACTAGCCGGGCGAGGTGGCGGGCGCCTGTAGTCCCCAGCTACTCGGAGCTGAGGCAGGAGAATGGCGTGAACCCGGAGGCGGAGCTTGCATGAGCTGAGATCCGCCCACTGCACCTCCAGCCTGGGCTACAGAGCGAGACATCGTCTCAAAAAAAAAAAAAAAAAAAAAAAAAAAAAAGTGTTTAACTCAGCTTCCCAAATGCCCTCGCTCTGAGAAAAAGCCCCAGAACTTCCTTTAGGGACCATCCTTCCCTGACTCTTGGTCCCTTTTATGCAGCAGGTCTGACACCAGCCCTGGTGGAGGTTGGACATGGAACCCAGGCCTGGCCAATCAGCTTCCTATGCCTGTGGCCACAGTGGCCAGCTTAGGGATACGACCTGAGCCTGGCCAAAGATAACTCAGTTCTGGGACATTTGCTGGACTGGGGAAGGGAAATTCTCTTGCTGGGATTCTCAGCAGACAGGATGAGAGCCCCAGGCTTCAAGGGATCATCTTGGCCCCATGAGAGGAGACTCTTCCTGGAAATGAAGACAACACAGAGAAAACAGACCCAAGAGGTAGAGAGAGGTTCCTGATAGCATCATTTGAGCACCTAGATCAAGCCATGCCTGAAGGTCTGTACCTGGACTTTTTCGTTACATAAATCCATAAATTCCCTTGTTGGGTCCCAGTTTGGGATTTTTGTTGCTGTTGTTATTTGCAATGACAGGATCTTGATAGACATGTCCCTCTTTCCTCACCTGGGGCTGGTGTCGGGACCTGAATGTCCATGATAGTTGGGTCTGCTGAAGAAATGGACGTGGTATACTTCAACGTCTGTCCTAGGGAATCAAAGGTGAGAAGTCAGGAGGGAGCCTGGTCCCCCTCCTCTCACCACCCCCGCCCTCCACTCCCTGGTGAAACCTTAGGGGTCCTGTCTGCTGGTGGAATCACTCAGCTTTGACAGTGTCAATCCATAATTCGGAAAGGGTTTTCAGCTATGCCAATGCCTGGGAACCCTTCTTCTAGGCCCCCTCCCCGCCCATCCCTGTGGGGTGGGAGAGTCAGTTTAGTCTAGTGAGCCCAGGTGCTAGGGTCAGCCCGGACCCTGGTTTCAAATCCTGCCCCCAACAACTTTCTTGCTGTGTGACCTGAAACAAATAAAGTCCTTTCTCTGAGCCTCAGTTGCTCCATCTGCAAAGCGGGGATAATAATTGAATCTACTGCACAGGGCTATAGATAGGGTGAAATGACACAGAGCAGGGAAACAGTCTCCCACACTGCTTACCATGTAGTCAGTGCTGGATGACTCCACTGCCCCCACCCTTGCCCAGCCTCTGTACCCTCCAGCCTGGACATCCCAGCAGCCTCCTCCCTGGGCTCCCTGCTCCTGTCCCTGCCCCCACAGTCTGTTCCCACCTACAGCCAGAGGGAGCCTGGGACCACCTGAGTCAGGTCAGGGCCTGCCTGGCTCAGAGCCCTGCCCTGGCTGCACTTCGCTCTACATAAAAGCAAAGCCCTCAAGTGGCCCATAAGTCCTCCTCCATCTGGTCCCATCACTTCTCCGTCCTCTCTTCATCCCACTCTGCCCCTTCTCATCCCAATCCAGCCACCCCACCTGCCTGTTATTCTTAAAGCACACCAGACAACACTCAGCCCCCAGACACCTGCAAGGCTCATTCCCTCATTTCCTCCAAGTGTTTGTTGGTCCCAATGTCACCTCCTTAGTGAGGCCCTCCCTGACCACCCAGTTTAAACAATCCTCATTACCTGTACTTTTCTGCAAGCACATAGCACCTCCTAGCACATGATATAATTTACTAATTTGTCTCTCCCCACTAGAGTGTGACCTCTTGTTTTATTCACTGCTGTTTCTCCAGTGCACAGAATATCTAGCACATAGTAGGTGCTCAATAAATATTTGTCAAATGACTGAATGAGTGTATGAAAATCATTTTATGAAGGAGAAGTGAGGGTGCTTTCAGTGGGGCGTGCACTCTGGGTTCTGGGGGCAGGCAGGACAGTTGTTTTCCCAGTTCCCCCACACACTATCCTCTGACACAGCGCACTTCCCTTCGCTGAGCCTCAGTTTCCTCATCAGTAAAATGGGCATGACAACAGGTGTGACTGACTGTCAGAGGCAAAGCCTAACTGAGCTAACACACACCACACACCACACCTGCCATGCAGAAGGGATGCTCAATGACCCCCCGCGGTTCCTGTCTTTCAGGAGACACTTTCCAGGCAAGGCCGAGATGTCACCAACTCGTTGGACCAACCCCAGCTCAACAGCTTTGCCTAACTGTGTAATGCCCCAGAACCCAGTGATCCTCTTTTTTGGGAGCCGAGGTTTCCTGGCCGCTGAGTAGAAAACTGACACCAATCTCCCCGCCAAATCAAACTCAGCGAGTTCTTCTCGGAGGTGAAATTGGAGGATGCTCAGCAGGACAGGCCCTGGCCAGACTCACTGGAAGCAGCCACCTGGGTTTGAGGTGTCCAAAGAGGGTGTAACGTCGCCCCGCCATAGGGATCCCCACTTCCTGGTGCCGGCTCAGCGGGAGGATGACAGGGCGGGACAGAACGTTCACACACGCCAGCCACCCACCCTGCAGCACATGTAGGGCTGGCCTGGCTGGGGGCTCTGGGGCAGGGTGGAGGCCAGAGACGGGTCTTACCTCTGGTGGGGAGAATCAGGCCAACGATGGTGAGAAGACACAGGCGACCAAAGGGCGACATCTGTGGGACCAGGCGATGCTGGGGTCAGCCATGATGTCAGCGAGGCCGGCCTCTGGCAGCCCCCGCGGGATCCTGCAGCCCCTTCCCTGCCCTGAGCAAACACCTCTGGCTTCCAGGACCCCCTGCCAGGGCAGACGGCTGGCCTCAGGGGAAAGGGGAGGGTCTTAGGTGGGGATATCAAACAGTCACCCTGCTTCCTTCCCCTGCAGGTCCCCAAAGAAAACAAGAAGCAACAGATAAATGGATCTCCCAGCAGCTGCAAGGGCCGGCAGGCGCCCCTGAAGCAGAGAAGCACCTCCCTGCGCCTTCCGCCAGGCGCCTATTCCTCACTGGGACTGACGCAAGGAGGGGACTGGGGCAGAGGAGTAGATAGGAGGCCTCTTCCCTCCCCCAGGGGCCCAGAGCCCAGGAGTCGGCAAGGAGGGGAAGGAGGAAGAGTGAGTAACGCCTCCTGCGCTCAGAGGAAAAAGTGAGTTGGTGTCAGGGGCTGCCTTGCAGGGATGGCGCGCTAGGGAGATCTGAGAAGCACTGGTCCGAGGGGGGTGGCAAACAGCTGGGGAGACTGAGGCAGGCCGGCGGGAGCGAGGCAGAGCGGCCCACTGTAGCCCAGGAGAGGAGGCAGAGAGATGTGGGCGTGGATGGGGGACAGAGAGGGGCGGAAGGGGTCAAACCCCTACCCACCTGAGCCCGGCCCGTGGGCAGAGGGGCAGCGGATGGAGGTGGCGCGCGAGAGGCACTTACGTTGGAGCTGGGGGTCCTGAGCCGGCAGCCTAGTGGGGAGAGGGACGCGGCGGTGGCTGCTGCGTCCAGGCGGAGGGTGTGGCCAGGGGAGCGCGAGCGGGCGGGGACCCAGACGGGCTCAGTCATTTCCTCTTGGGTTTCCTGGCTTCAGAGCCCGGGGTGGGAGCAGGAGGGGGAGCCGCTGAGGGCAACGGGGGGCAGGGGTGAGGGCACAGTGGTGGGGGAGGGTGGGGACGGGGATGGGGCCGGCAGGTCTAGGGTGAGTGGACGCCTCTGAGAAAGCAGGGGGAGAAAGGGGAGGGGTCTATTCTGGGGTCGCTGGAGGAAGGGAAAGGACAAATCCGGAGGTGTTGAGGAAGAAGGGATTGGAGGGGGGCAACTCGGGTCACAGGGAGAGGAGAAGGAAGAGGGGGCAACCCCGGGCACGCAGGGGAGAGCTACCCCAGGTTCAGTTCTGCACCCCTACCCACACCGTGCCCCATAGATGAGAACACACAGACAGAACAGGAGAAAAAACCAAATGCACATTTATTAAGCTCAAGACAAGGACACTGAGGGCCCAGGGGGACGGATCTTCGGGGATGAGACAAGGAGGTGCAGGGGGACCGTACACGGGGATGCTGGCGGGGCTGGGCCGGGATGGACTCCCGGATCCCAGGAGCTGGAGGCCTGAGGCCCCGGGTCTGGGGTGCAGACGGGCTCTTTGGGGGATCATCATTGCCAAGGCCTGGGGAGGGACAGCAGGGTGCAGCGGCTCCAGCCTTGGGGTGGGTGGGGCGGCTCATTCCGGGGAGCGCTCCCGGCGCGCGGCTGGGTCCCCACCGCCTCCACCCGGTCCTCAGGCTCCCGCGCTCAGACAGGGTCGGCAGCGGAGGTTCCTCGGGCAGGTGTTACACGCCGCCGCCACCAGGGGCTGGGGAGAGAGGGGGCGGTGCGTGAGCCACCAGAGAGGTGGAAACTGCCTCCCTCCCCACAGCTCGTTGGCTCTCCATTCCCCGGCACCATGGAAGCCAGACCCCAGGGACTGTCACCCCTGAGCTAACACTGAGGAGCTGTCTTGCCTTCCACACTCTAATGCCTGGTTCCCTTGGGGACACCTCTGGCTGCTGTCATGGAGAGAAACACCTGCCACGGGGCTGGTGGCCCCAGACCCAACCTGGGCTTTTGGGGCTGTCCCCCTGCCAAAAAGGGAGTCCCCATCCCCATTCCCATCCGCAATCTCCTCCTACACCCTCACTCCTTTCCTACACTCCCTGTCCTGAACATTTGGCTACAACGGAAATTCCCCCATTCCCTACCGGCTCCAGACCATCATTCACCTAGGAGAGACCAGAAACCTGTGCAGTCTTCGTCTGTGCCCCGGGTGACAAGGCCAACCCCCATGCTGCCCTACGCATCCATAAGTGCCCTGTTCATGTTTTAAAATTCATTAAATAAGCATGAAACAGGTCCAGCGTGGTGGCTCATGCCTGTAATCCAAGCACTTTTGAGGTCAGGAGTTTGAGACCAGCCTGGCCAACACGATGAACCCTCATCTCTGCTAAAAATATAAAAATTAGCTGGGTGCGGTGGTGTGTGCCTGTAGTCCCAGCTACTTGGGAGGCTGAGGCAGGAGAATCGCTTGAACCCGGGATGCAGAAGTTGCAGTGTTGTAGTAAGCTGAGATCGTGCCACTGCACCCCAGCCTGGGCAATGGAGGACACAGCAAGACTCCGTCTCAAAAAAAAAAAAAAAGGAACCTGAAACAAATTCCACACCAAATACCCCTCAACCACTGAATAACCCGTGTGCCCCTCCTGCTTTTTTTTTTTTTTTTTTTTGTTATTGTTATAAGAACTTTATAGGAGACACAGAAATTCTCATTTCTGGTTTTTTACAAGTCTCCGGAAAGGCTGCATTCCCACTAAAAACAGGTCAAGATATTTTTACATAATTCAAATTAACAGCCCCAAGGAGTCAGAATCTTTCATCTACATGCTTGCTTGCCCTGCATCCCTCTCGTTCTCCCTTTACACCTTCCAGGCTTACACCCATTCTCCCTCCTCCACCCTGCAGGCCGTCCTCCTCCCATCCTCCTCCCCTTCCTTCCTGGGCTCCTCCTTCCCACATTCTCCCCGAACACCTCCATCCTCTCCACTCTACCCCCTCCTGTGCTTCCCAGCTTTCTTCTCCATCCTCACACTCCCTGCATCCCATATGTTCTTTTCCAATGTGAATTCTAAAATCTGCATTCTATTCATCTCTCTTTTTGTTATTTTGATGCAACGATTCAGAAACCTTCCCTCCCTCCCTCTGTCCCTTTTCCTTGGCTATTTCATCCGGGATCTGCCTGGCTGAACGATCAAGTCTGGAAAGCCTCTCCTCGTCTTCCTCAGTGCTCCCTGTCTCTCCCTCCTGACTGACAGAGCTCCTCCCACATGGGGCCCTTCTCTTCACAGGCCTGTAGTTTCCTCTCCTGGGAAATCAGCATGTCCTGGCTTTTACAGGCTTGAGCATTTGTTTCTGGGAATCTCCGTGGACTCTGGGACATGTCACATCTCACTGCCTCCCCACGGTTTAGCATCATCTTTCTTTTCCCTCCCTCCCTCCTTTCCTTCCTTCCTCCCTTCCTCCCTCCTTTCCTTCCTTCCTCCCTTCCTCCCTCCTTTCCTTCCTTCCTCCCTCCTTCCTTCCCTCCCTCCCTCCCTTCCTTTTTTCCTTCCTTTCTCTTTTTCTTTCTTTCTTTTTTTTTTGACAGAGTCTCACTCTGTCACCCAGGCTGGAGTGGAGTGGTACGATCTCAGCTCACTGAAACCTCTGCCTCCCAGGTTCAGGTGATTCTCCTGCCTCCGTCTCCTGAATAGTTGGGATTACAGGTGCGCACCACCACGCCCAGCTAATTTTTGTATTTTCAGTAGAGACAGAGTTTCACCATGTTAGCCAGGCTGGTCTCAATCTCCTGACCTCAGGTGATCTGCCCACCTCGGCCTCCCAAAGTACTGGAATTACAGGCATGAGCCACCGCACCCAGCCAGGTTTAACATCTTTCATCTGCGGCATTTCCTCAGCTTCCTAGGGAATTGTCCTGTGATATCTGCGGGCAGCCCCCCTGCCCAGTCCATCCACAAGACTTCCCAAAACCCTCCCAGAACCACAGTTTCTCACCCTCACCTGAAGAGGGAAGCTCGGACTTACAGGATTTGCAGGTTGGGCTGTGGAGGCAGAGATGAGAGAGAAAAGTAGAAAGAGGTTCAGTAACCACAGGCTTTGGGGAAAACACATGGCAGGCCAAGCAGATCCTGCCCGTCTGCTAGGGAGGTACCCCGAGGCCCCCTCCCACTCTCTGCCCACTGCTGCCAGACCTCTCAGACCTGGAGTCCGCCTTCCTGCACTTCACCTTCTTGCCTGTTGGGAGAGAGAGAGACAGAACAAGAAGACAGAGGCCGGGCACGGTGGCTCAAGCCTGTAATCCCAGCACTTTGGGAGGCCGAGGCGGGTGGATCACGAGGTCAGGAGATCGAGACCATCCTGGCTAACATGGTGAAACCCCGTCTCTACTAAAAATACAAAAAACTAGCCGGGCGAGGTGGCGGGCGCCTGTAGTCCCAGCTACTCGGAGGCTGAGGCGGGAGAATGGCGTGAACCCGGGAGGTGGAGCTTGCAGTGAGCCGAGATCGCGCCACTGCACTCCAGCCTGGGCGACAGAGCGAGAATCCGTCTCAAAAAAAAAAAAAAAAAAAAAGAAGACAGGACATAGGGTGTAGGATATGTACGAAAGCCAGCAGAGGAACCGGAGGCCCAGGCAGCCCAGGGACGGGTCACACTTACTGATGACGATGAGGATACCCAGCAGGAACAAGATGGTTGCCAGAGTCATGCCCACAGTCTGCACCGTGTTGTAGTCTGGGGAAGAGAACGGGGGACATCGAGGCAGGGACAGCACCTGGGCTCCACCTGGAGCTTCAGTCCTGGCTCTGTGTTGCCCAGCCACGGGCCCAGAATCGCCCAGGGAGGCTGCGGGCCACGCTGGACGCTCCTTCAGGGGGCTGATGTGAGGATGTAGGGTGTGGGCTTGGGCACCATTTGCTCCCCTTGCCCTCTGTATCCTCTGCTTTCCTCCCCTGCTCTCTCACGCTGCACTTTCCACCCTGGATATATATATAATACTCTCCCTTTGCCACCTCCGCCCTGGTCCTGGTTCTGTCCACCATGGTCGCCCATCTGGCCTCTGCAGCAGCCTTCTCTAGGTTCTTGCTGGCCTGCCTGCACTCCCACCTCTGATAGCCACAAGGACCCATCAACATTTGAGTCAGATCTGGGCTCTCCTCCGCTCGGAGCCCTCCTCATCCCATTGCCCTCAAGGTAGAAACCAGAGTCCTCACTACGGCCCTCAAAGTCCCATAGGATCCAGTCCCTTTCCTTCTTGGACCTCACCCCACCTCACTCTCCCCATCAATCCTACTCCAGCCACAATGGCCTCCCCGCTGTTCCTGGGGTATATCCGGCCTGATCCTATCCCGGGGCTATCCTCTCCTATCCTATGACTGGCTGTTCCTGCAGCCTGAAAGCTCTTCCTCCAAATATCCACATGGCTCCTTCCCTCACCAATGTCTGGGCTTTGTTTCACTGTGAGCAAAACCTCTGGCTGCCCTGTCCAGAATTTTCCATCCTCTCCTCCACACTTTCCAATCTCATTCCCTTCTTTACTTCACAGGAATTATTCTTACCTAATATTCTTGCCTAATAATATCCTTGTCTTTTTTTTTTTTTTTTAAGAGACGTGGTGTCACTCTGTCACCCAGGCTGGGGTGCAGTGGTGCAATTATGGCTCACTGCAGCCTCCACTTCTTGGGCTCCAGGAGATCCTCCCTGCTCAGCCTCCCAAGTAGCTGAGACTACAGGCACACACCACCATGCCCAGCTAATTTTTAAATTTTTTTTTTTGTAGAACTGGGCACAGTGGCTCATGCCTGTAATCCCAGCACTTTGGGAGGCCAAGGCAAGCAGATCACTTGAGGTCAGGAGTCCAAGACCTGCCTAGCCAACATGGTGAAATCCTGTCTCTACTAAAAATATGAAAATTAGCCAGGTGTGGTGGTGTGGGGGCCTGTAGTTCCACCTACTCAGGAGGCTGAGGCAGGAGAATCACTTGAACCTGGAAGGCGGGGGTTGCAGTGAGCCGAGATTGCGCTATTGCACTCCAGCCTGAGCCACAGAGTGAGGCTCGATCTCAAAAAAAAAAAAAAAAAAAAATCACAATCATAGTTCATTGCAGCTTCAAACTCCTGGACTTGAGCGATCCTCCTGCCTCGGCCTCCCAAAGCACTAGGATTACAGTCATGAGCCACCGCACCTGGCCAATAATATTCTTGTCTAATATATAATTTTCATATTTTGTTTTCTTGAGTATCTGTCTCTTTTCCATTGAGTGGAAGGTCAGGAGGAGGGCAGGAATTCTTGCATTCCTGAATTCTTGTCTGTGTGGTTCATTGCAATGTCTGCAGCTGCTTGGAGCATTGCCAGGCATAGAGCCTGTGCCCGCTAAGTATTTGTTGAGATATGAATTTATGCAGCACTCACTCTGTACCAGTAGTGGTCCAGGCCTCTACCCTCAAGGAGATGACTTTCATATTCTGATAAAGCATTAAAGAAACAACCCCTCCAAAACAAGTCATGCGACTCCAGCTGGGCATGGTGTGGCTCTTCGTTGCCAGGGAGTCAGGAGGGCCTATCCCAGCAGAGTAGTCTAGGTTTGATCTGAGGCCCGAATAAGGAGGAGCCTTAGCCAGCCGTGTACAAAGCTAGAGGAGAAGCATTCCTGCAGAATCATGGCATATGCAAAGGCCCTGAGATGGGAGATAAATTGACACCTAGGGGAAAAGTATGAATGAGCAAAGGGGTGCGGTGGGGGCAACAGGAGGGTGTTCAGAGGGGAAACTGGAGCCAGATCTACCAGGCCTGGGGTAACTTTTTTGAGCTTCAATGCTATGGAGGAGATTTAATGGCACCAGCCACGTATCTTTCCCACAATCCTCGTAGGTGGGAACTATTACTGTCCCTTGTTTACAGAAGGGCCCAGAGGGACAAAGTCACTTGCCCAAGGCCATACAGCTAGTGAGTGGATAAGGCAGGATTCAAATCCAGGCAGCCTGGCCTCAGAGTCATTGCTTCTAAGATTTTCCTTCATCTGCTTCTCTGAAGACACAAAGGCACCAGCCCAGATCCCGGTGAGACCTGAAGGGGGCTCAGAGAGAGGGTGAGGCACCCCCACTCCCCCATCTGGTTCTGCCCTCCACGAACCCAACTGATGTAAACCACACCCATATATATGATCCTGTGGCCAGTGGCCCAGCACATATCATGTAGCCATAGCTGAAGCCATGTCCGGAGCGACGTGGGAACACCTGCAGCCACTCCCCAGTCCAGCCCCATCCCCAAATCCAACACTCACCATAGTAAAATGGGTCAGGTTCCTCAGGAGCTGAGGGAAAGAAGCAGAGAAAAAGAGAAAGAAAAAAAAAAAAAACTTAACAGTGGATTTCTTAATATTTTTGAGGATCCAGATAGAGGGCCCAATAATTTCTTTGTGGAAGTCAGATAGAGACCCCTTGGTTTGGATGATGTGGCTTCATGGCAGGCCGCAAGGCTGGAAGAGCATAGCCCAAGCTGGATTCCAGCCCCTACTCACTCCATCAGTCAGCACCATCCTCTATGCAGTGTACAATCTACCCAAACTACATGGCAGTCCTGGTTCTGGACCCCTGTGGAGGTCTGATGCAAGCTATGGACTCATTCCCTGAAAAACACAGACGCACTCCCTCTTGCACATGATGTCACAAGGTTAAAACAGACCCCATTTCCACTGGTGGTCCAATGAATGTCTCAGTTTCCCCTAAACACTCCCTAAAACTTCTCAGTCACCTGAGGGCTTCCATAGGCACCTGCTGCTACTGCTGTCATCCACTCACTCCTGACACTCCATCCAGTACAGAGAAGCTGTGCTGATTCATACTCCTCCTCTCCTCTCCTCTCTCCTCTCCTCTCCTCTCCCCTCCCCTCCCCTCTCTTTTCCTTTCCTTCTTTCAGACAGGGTCTTACTCTGTCACCCAGGCTGGAGTGCAGTGGCACGATCTCAGCTCACTGCAACCTCCACCTCCTAGGTTCAAGCAATTCTCCTGCCTCAGCCTCCCAAGTGCTGGGATTATAGGTGTGCACTACCACTTCTGGCTAATTTTTGTATTTTTAGTAGAGACAGGATTTCACTGTGTTGGCTGGTCTGGTCTCAAACTCCTGACCTTCAGTGATCCACCTGCCTCAGCCTCCCATAGTGCTGGGATTACAGATGTGAGCCACCGCATCCAGCCCATTATTACTTATTTCTAAGACACCATCAAGTTTAAGATTCAAACTTGAGTCCAGGCACGGTGGCTCACACCTGTAATCTCAGCACTTTGGGAGGCCGAGGCGGGCGGATCACAAGGTCAGGAGATTGAGACCACGGTGAAACCCCGTCTCTATTAAAAAATACAAAAAATTAGCCGGGCGTGGTGGCGGGCGCCTGTAGTCCCAGCTACTCAGGAGGCTGAGGCAGGAGAATGGCGTGAACCCGGGAGGCGGAGCTTGCAGTGAGCAGAGATCTGGCCACTGCACTCCAGCCTGGGCAACAGAGCGAGACTCCATCTCAAAAAAAAAAAAAAAAAAAGATTCAAAATGGAGTTTGTAATGGTTTTCCCTTTGTGTGTGTGTGTGTGTGTGTGTGTATGTGTAAATATGTTTGGAACTCTACCGTGTGAAATGTCCCCATCCATTAGAAGACACATAATGATTTCAGAAATGTTCACATGTGGATAAAATGTGTGTGTGCCTCTGGATTCACTTTTCTCCACTTCCTGCCTTCCTGGTCCTAATCACGTTCCCCTGCAGGAGAGCTCAGAACATCCTTCTCATTCAACAAGTTCATCCCGATGGCTCTCGAATGCCTCTGACAGTTCTTATCATATTTGGCCTTTCCTAGAGCAGAATTTGGCAGCAGACTGTCTGCCACATGGGGAGAGGGTGAGGGGTGCCAGGGTGATGCCTGATGTCATGGGTGCTCTTCTTCCCCCTTCCAGGCTCAGAGATGGATGGCTCCCTGGAGGTTGGATAGGGCCATGTGACTAATTCTGGCCAAGGAACTGTGAGTAGAAGTGCATTGTCACTTCCAGGCTGGGGCGTTTAAACATTCAGGAACATTCAGGCCTCCAGGCCAAAGCTCTGTTTCACTTCTAGCCTGATGGCCTGAATGTTCACAATGCTGACTGCTCTGGTTTTCTTTGGTGACTGGTCAACCTGTGATGCACGTATAGCCTAAGTGAGAAGTGAACCTGGTTGTCATAAACCCCTGAGACTTTTGGTACTATTTGTTACTGCAGCATACTCTAGCTGAAACTGACTGACAGAAGTGGCCCCAAAGCAACACCTGTTTGTTACCGCAGCATACTCTAGCTGAAACTGACTGATAGAGGTGGCCCCAAAGAAAGACCATGATTCACACAATGTGTAAGTTTACCCTTCCCAGGTCTCTGTCCAGTCTTCAAAGAGGATGTCTTAGGTTGGTGCTGAGGTATCTTTAACACCTTCCAACCCTTGTTAATCTCCCCCTTTACCTAAGAGAAAACAGGCCTTGGGCTCCGAATCTTCAGCAGGCAATAAAATCTAGGCAGAATTTTGTGGCATTATTTGGTTTTCTCCTTTATTTATTGATGTAACCAGCAAGGGGTAGCTCTGACTCCATTCCAGCCTCCCTGCTAAGCATCTGACGGATATCAGTGCATTTACTCTTAATCTTCATAGCAACTCTTTCGTATGGGTGCTATCTTCATCCCCATTTCCTGCCAGGGGGACACCAGACCCACAAAAGTGAAATCACCTGCTTCAGATTGCTCTTAGGCTGCCTTCAATTTAAGGCAAAAAGAAGATGAATTTTCCAGCTGGGCATGGTGATTAATGCCTGTAATCCCAGCACTTTGGGAGGCCAAGGTGGGCGGATCACGAGGTCAGGAGTTCGAGACCAGCCTGGCCAATATGGTGAAACCCCGTCTGTACTAACAGTACAAAAATTAGCTGGATGTGGTGGTGCACCCCTGTAGTCCCAGCTACTTGGAAGGCTGAGGCAGAAGAATCACTTGAACCCGGGAGGCAGAGGTTGCAGTGAGCCAAGATTGTGCCACTGCACTCCAGCCTGAATGACAGAGCGAGAGTCCGTCTCAAAAAAAAAAAAGAAGAAGAAAATGGTGAATTTTGCAGTTGTGATGGTGCTATAAAATAAAGCTCATTGTTTTTAAAAAGCTAATCCTGGTTTGGGCATGGTGGCCCACGCCTGTAATCCTAAGCACTTTGGGAGGCCAAGGCAGGTGAATTGCTTGAGCCCAGGAGTTTGAGACCAGCCTGGGAAACATGGCAAAACCTGTCTCTACAAAAAATACAAAAATTAGCTGGGTGTAGCGGGGAATGCCTTGTAGTCCCAGCTACTTGGGAGGTTGATGTGGGAGGATAGATTGAGCCCAGGACTTTGAGGCTGCAGTGAGCTGTGATCGTACTATTGCACTCCAGCCTGGGTGACAGAGTGAGACCCTGTCTCAAAAAATAAAAGCAAAAAAGCTAATCATTTGAAGGAAAAAAATTAAATAAATAGCAGTGTGAGGAATATTTGAATAAAGTGAAAATTGTGATCGTAATACTCAAAAGCGCCAAGATGGTGAAACACTGCTTCAGGGTCCCTTGTGCTCTGTGTAAGTTTCCCCACCAGAGAGTGAGTAAATTTGTTTGACTCATCGCCGCTGTTCATCCTGACATTTATGAAAGGCTCTCCAAGTTTTCTGGGATGAATGAATGAAGGAATGATTATGAGGCGGTCCTAGGCTGCAGGAGGCTGCAAAAGGTGGATTGTCTCACTAGTCTTTCCCACACACCTGCCCTTCCCCAAAGTTATCAGGAGCCCACTGGGTGAGCACCTGTCCCAGAATCTGGTGTTCCATGCAGGAGATCCTCCTCTGGTCCCTGCTGCCCCAGCAACCTGGGCCCCCAGGCGTGGCTGGGCTAAGGGTGGGGCCAGGAGTCAGGCAAAGGAATGTGCACTACTCCTGGCCACCTGCCAAGGAGATATCAGGAAGGAGGTGGTTGCTATGGTAACTGGGGCATCTCGTGAGGTGAAGAGAGGTGATAGGTCCCGGCATCCCAGGCTGGGTGGGGTCCCTTGTGAGGTCCTGTGTAAGATGCGGGTTTCAATCTTGACCCTCTCCCCTCCTTTTGCACCTCCTGCTGTTGCCCCTGCAGGACTGGCTTCTGGCCAAGCTGAGGGTCCATTTCAGGGACAGGGACCCGGACCCAGCTGTGCTCATGCATCCCTCTTCTGTTCACCCCTAATTCTCCCGCCCGTTCTCTGGCAGGGCGGAGGGAGACAATCTCCCTTCTTCCCCCCTCGCTCCCCAACAATTCATTAATTAGTTTCCTTAAGCAGTTTGCAATGCACAACATGCTTTTCCTCCCCCGGGATTTCCCGAGACCCGCGGTCCCCTCTCATGCTGTGACTGGGAAAGGGGGAGGCAGAGGAGGTGGGGTTGAGGAGTCTGTCCTCCCACCTCTGCCCGTCTGCTGCCATCGATCCTGTTAACCACCACCTCTGCAAAAAGAAGCCCTGGGCTCCCGCCAGGCCTGCTGCCTCAGCCCTGCCCCCTCTCCCTAGGGTGGCTTCCAGCCTCTGCAGCCCCCCCCACCCCCCGCCCTGCTTCGGATTCTGCAGATATGGCTCAGTGCAGCAGCCCCCGCCTTCTGGGAAGCACGGAAGGGAGGGAGTCATCCAAGTGGAATTGGGGTTCCCTTCACGGCCAGGGGCTTCTCAACACCCCTGGTCCATCCCCTGCCCTCAGTGCTGGAGACCCTAGCTGGGCACCCGCTCCCTCTTGAAGCAGTCTGTGCCTTGCTCCTCTGCAGAAGCAGGCTTAGCAATGGGGGCTATTAGGGGGCAACGGTGGAAGTGGGTGTTCAACTGGGTGCATAACTGGGTTAATGGGTGTGGAATGGAAATCAGTGTGCGGCTGGATGGGGGCAGTAGGGGCAGTTAGGTGCATACCCAGGTACACCTCTGGGATTGGAAAACACCCCTGCTGTGGTCTGGGAAGGAGGGTCCCATCACCCCATTCCCACCCATGGGGGTTCACTGCAGTGGTTTGGGCCCCACCCCACACTGCTTCCTTCTCTTTCTATTCCCCTCTTTCCCCATGGGTCCGTCTCTCTCCCTCCGTCTCTCTGCTTCTCTCTCCATAGCAGTCTCATTCCCGCTATCTCCCAGGCTCTCATTTTCTCTCTCCCTCTCTGCATCTCTGTCTACCATTCTTTGCCACTCGCCTCCACTGGGAATCTCTCTGAGTCCATCTATTTGTCTTCCTGGGTCTTTGTATCTGTGACTCTGGATCTCCTGCCTCTCGGTCTCTGTCTCTTCCAGGTTCTCCCTGTCCATCTCTTGCTATATCCCTTCTCGCTGTCTCTTCCTTCAGCTCTCACTCCTTTCCTCTGAACCTGGCTGTCAAGGGTTTCAGGAAACACACACCCTAGGAGACAGCACTGGAAAGAAGAGGGACATGAACCTCCTCCCCTTCCCTTGCCCACCCCAGGGACCCTGAAATCTTCCAGAACATCTCTGGCCGCAGACCCACCCGCTCCCACCCTGCAAGCTCATCTCTTCCCGTCTGCTACCACCACGGTGCGGGACCAGCCACCCGGTTGCCATAGCGACCTGTCCGAGCATCCCTTCTCCCGGGACTGCCACTCTCCAACCGCAGGTCTGGCACAGGACACCCGCCGGAGAGGGGGTGTCCCAGAGACCCGGAGGGGCGATCGGGGGGCTGCATTACAGGGGCCTCCGCCCACAGAAGGAGCAGACCTCCCTCCCCCCACTCCCCTGCCTTACCATTGCTGGAATCTCCCGACACCCTCTCTCCTAGGATCTCAGATCCCGGAGCCCCCCTGCAACCCCCTCCCCAGACGACGCTCACCCTTTGTGGGGGTCTGGGTCGGGGTCGCCATGCTGGGCCGGAGCAGGGGGCTGCTGGATGCTTTGGCGGCGAAGGCGCGCTGCAGCAGCTGGAAGCAGGACGGACCGATATGGGGGGGAGCTGGGGGGAGCCCTGGCGTGGGGGGGCCTGCAGCCAATGGGGGCCCGGGGAGCCCGCCCCCGTGCAGGCCACCCCCGCCCCCGCCCCCGCCCACCACCGTCGTCCCCGCCCCTTCCTCTAGGGTGGGGCGCCCCCTGCTGGGGCCCAGGGGCGCTGGGCTTTCGCGCTGAGGGACCGAGACCGACAAAGTGCTGTCGAGAGGAACGCACGTTTTATTGGAAGTCTGGGCGGCAGGGGGAGTCTGCCGGGGCAGGGCTGGGGAAGGGGCGGCGGAGGGGGCAGTGGGCGCGCAGGTGGAGCGTGGGAGACGTCAGGTGCCAGGGGAGTCCTGTGGGGTGAAAAGGGTGAGTGAAAGGTGAGGGGGGAAGTCCAGCACCACCCCTCGCCGCCCTCCAACCCTGGCACTTGGCCCCCTCCCTCTCCCGCCTTTCCTTCCTCCCTCCTTCCCTCCCACCGCCGTGTCAGAGCTGCAGCACCTGGCCGGATTCCATCGCGCCAGGTGTTTCTACCGCCTGCGGGTGGACAGACCTGGGGGGAACACGGAGATCGGGGGTCATCAAGAGGGGCATCCCCAGCTCCTGGGCAGGCGGGGCAACTCCCCGCCCTCCGCTTTCAGATCCAGCTCCTCCCTCTACGCAGCCGGGGAGGGCCAGGAAAAGGGGTCCTTGGAACCAGCCCTCTCCCCAAAATACCCGCAGTCTCCCCAGACTCACGGCGGATGGAGCTGCGGAAAGTTCCCTCCTCTTCATCGGGTTCCCCAGTCCTGGGAAGACAGAGGCAGAGGGACTTCGGGATGGAAAGGGGGAGAGGCTGCCCTTCTAGGAACCCCCAGTACAAGCCTCCTTTCCCAGACTGGTGTAACGAGGCCCAGATATGGACGAAGAACAGGCTCGGGGTCCGCCAGAAATAAGAAGCACCCAGGAGCAGCTTAAGTGCTTTGCAGGGGGCTTCCAAGCCGGTTAACAGTGAGTACCTCCGCGGATTTGGGGGCAGGGATGTGAAGTTGGTAAGGGAGGGATAGTCAAGGGGACTTGGCAGACTGTCATGAGATGGCCTGGGTTGGAAACCCAGAACCCCCCATCTTCCACTTGAGTGATCTTGAACAAAGTGACTTTACCTCCCTGTGTCTCAGTTTCTTTATCTGTAAAATGGGCTTAATAACAGCACCTCCCTCCCAGAGGAAGTGAAACCGTATCTGACACGTGGTATACACCCAATAAATATTAGCTACTGCTTATGATAATATCTATAATTGTTCTAACATATTCACACATTGTCCATGCTTTAACATTTTATTTGAAGAGGAATCAAAGAGCTAGGAACAGGACTCTAAGCTAAACTGGGCCGCGTGTGAGATGATCTCATTTCACCGCCGTTCTTTCTTTCCTGCACTTTGTGTTATCACGCTTTGTGATTTTTCTATCTGTGGGGCTGTTGGAATCCACGGCCACCGCCTCCACTAGGCTGGGAGCTCGGCCAGGAAGGGCGGTAGGTTTTTTCCTCGCTTGGTCCCAGGGCCTGGCTTGGGCCGTGGTACATAGTAGGTGCTTAATACATAGTCGCTGATGGGAATCGGGCTGCGGGTCAGGCGGACTCCCCGCCTCACCTGCGGCGCACTCCAGAGCAGGAGCGGGCGAAGGAGGGCGGGGAGGGGCGTTTTACCTCTGCTGCTGGTTGAACTTGCACCGGCATCTTCTGCCTGTGGGCGTGGAGAAGTAGGAGAGGCTGAGGCTCCCCACCGGCGGACGCCAAGCGGCGCTGTAGCTCCAGCTCACCCTCGCGAGGGGCGGGACTTGGGGGACGGGGCGGGGCTAGAAGCGAGACCGTAGGCCGGGGAGCCAAGGCAGGGTAGGCGGGGCAAGGCCTGGGAGGGGTTGGGCCAGGGAGAGGCGGGGCCAGGGAGAGGCGGGGCCAGGGAGAGGCGGGGGTAGAGGGCGGGGGCTAGGGGCACTCACTGAGCACAATGAGGATGCCCAGGATGAAGAGGATCCCGGCAATGATGAGGCCTCCGATCCGCAGGGACTGGTAGTCTGTGAGCAGCAGAGCAGGGAAGGTGAGGGCCCGGAGGAGAGGAGGGAGAATAGGAGAGGGGTAAATTGGGGAGGAGGGAACAGGGAGAAAGGACCAGCAGGGAGAAGCGGGGAAATAAGATCAATTAAGGGGGAGCAGATATGGGAGGAGGAAAGTGGGGGACCAGGGAGAGGAGAGAGGTATATAGGAAAGGGAGGGAGGGGGCAGGGAGGAGGGGGACAGGGGGAGAGAAGATGGGAAAAAGCAGAGGATGGGCCACGAGATGCTGAGAGAGACCCAGGCAAGAGAAAGAGAACCAGAGAGGTATCACATAGACAGTGACACAGAGAGACACAGACAGGGAAAGACGCAGACAGGTGGAATCAGAAAGGAAGGACAAAATAGAGGGAAGGAGAATGACAGAGATTTCATACTGGGACTCTGGAGGAGGGTGAATCAAAGGACCAGCAAAGCCAGGATCTCCCCCAAAACTCTCAGAATTAGACCCCCCACTCACCATAAGTGAACGGGTCTTGCTCCTTTGGACTTTCTGGAAAGAGAGAAATCAGGGGTTGAATGCTTCCTGGGGTCCTGGACAGGGAGGGGCATAAGGAGACCACTGGGGGCTCTGCCTTGCTGGGCTGAGAGTCTGAGGGTGTCTAGGCAGGCTGCCCACCCTCTCTGGGTCCCAGCTGCCCCCCTGCACTGTCCCAGATGGGGCAGGGGGCACCTAACTGCCCCAGCTCCCTGATTCATGGCAGGCTGCCTGTGACCCAGTTATCCCACCAGGGATTCAGCCCCATCCCACCCCACCTCTGCCTGATCCGGGGCTTCCTCTCCCTTCCCCCAAATGCCAGCCTGTGACTGGACCCCACGTGGAGACCCTCAAACTTCTTGGTACCCCAGTCGACTCAGTCTAGGTTGCGGTCTCCAACTTGGTTCTTTCTTGGGGTTTCAGTCCCCGCCGCCACCCCTGGGGCTGAGGTGGGTAGCGGGCAGCCTCCCCTGCACTCACCTGCCTTGGCCATGGTGATGAGACTCACACAGAAAACCAAGATGTGGCCAAGAGACGCCATTGTCCTGGGGGGGACACAACAGGTTAGGCAGTGTGTGCCCTTGCTCTCCCACATAGGGCTTGAACCCAAGGGATTAAGTCAGAGATAGTCTGGGGACTGAATCACCGAAGCATTCATCCTCTAGCTTGGTGGCTCCCAGAAACAGGGGTATCCCCAGCTTCGTGGGGACACAGTGTCACCAAAACAACCTCCACGATGGGTTCACACAACAACACAATGTAGCAGGGACAGGGGTGAGACACACAGTCCCTGGGGGCCTCCCTCGGGCCTCCACCTCCCACAGCAGGCCCCCGATCCCCAGACCTACCCTGGCAGGGCAGAGGAGGCGCTGCCTCACACAAACACGGAGCAGGAGACAGCGGGGCACGCCCAAGTCCCACCTGCCTACACGCCCGGCCTCACTGTGCCCCGCAAAATCCCAGCTCCCTGCCCTCTCCGCCTGCCGGCTCCCAGCCTGACCCCGGGTATAAATATCTCCCACTTCACCCTGGAGGAATTCGGCTCGCTCAGGCCACCATGGCAACAGCCTGCCTTCCCCCACTCAGGGGGTCACGCACAGCCCTGCCCGGGTGAGGCCCAGCTGCCACATCGCCACAGGCTGCCCCTGTGGGAAAGGCCACCCTGTCTCCTCCCTGGGCAGCAACGAGGAAAGGAAAAGACAGCCCTTCTGCCTGCCTCTGGGTGACATCTTTCACAATCGGATGTCAGGCAAGTGACATGAGGCCCAGGCCAGTGGGCCTGAGAGAGAGAAGACACTGCTGGGGCAGGGATGCGCGCGCACGCGCGCGCGCGGACACACACACACACACACACACACACACACACACATATACACACACTGGGGCCGGAATGGACATGAACAACAACCTCTCCCCAAACTTCTGGTTGGAGCAGGACGTGGGGTGTAAACACCGTCAGGCGTCCAGTACTCCTCCTCTGGGCCTCCGGTGCCCCCACACAGTGACGCAACCAGCCCTACACATGTGTGTGTCCGAATTCCACACCCTGCCAGGGTGCACACGCACCAGCAGGGCAGGGAGGAGTCGCCCACATCCCACCCTGCAGAACCCACTGCCCCAACCACACTCCCTCCCTCTTAGGTTGGCCTGCCTGGGAAGCCTCGGGCTGGCCACTACTGCTCCCAAAATAGGCGGCCCAGCCAGACCAGGGGTGAGGCCTGGAGGGAAGGAGTGGGGGACGCTCACCCCAATCGGGCTGTCCCCTGCTGAAAGAAGGCCCCCAAACGTCCTGCTGTGCCCCGGGGGCTGAGCACTTTGGACCCCCTGGCCCAGAGCTGGACGCGCCGCCCCCAACAGGCTCCCCTCCCAGCCCCACCCCACCCTTGCCCTCCCCAACCAGCAGCTGTAACTGGAGCTGGGGCTGGAGGGGGGCCAGGGGGCGGCCCCCAGCCCAGACCGCCCTGGCCCGCTAGGTTAACTCTCTCAGTTCAGATGGAGGAGCAACAGGCAGCCAGCAGGCAGGCTGGAGAGGCCAGGAGGACTGTGGAGGACAGGGTTGTGAACACACACACACACACACACACACACACACACACACGCCTCCAAGAGCTTCTGGGCTGAGGCGGCTGGCCCCTGGGAATTGGGCCCAGCCAGGGCCTAAGGTCACCCAGCCTGACTGCCCAAGAGCCCACTGACCCCCGATCCCAGTGCTCCATGGGGTCCTTAACAGGGCCGTTTTAGAGGATGGGAGGGAGGTGTGTGTGTGTGTGCGCGCGCGCGCATGTGCATGCAGTATCTGTTGCAGTGAGATCCCCAGAAATGCTACACACACATACACACACACATGCACACACACACACAGGAAATCCCAAAGACCCAGATAGACAGGTACAAAACCAGACAAAACCACGTATGTATGTACATCCATAGAGGCAGGCACACAGAATGACACACTGATAGAGAAACCCAAAGACTTGGACACACAGCCAACACCTCTTATGCCAGTCACAAAATACCAAAACAAGCACATTTATGTCTACACAGACCCATGCACCCTCGTGTAAATGGATGACCCCACGGAGACACAGTCAAAAACATAGCCACACCACCATCCACACTCACAAAGTGGCCACAAAAATGCATGTTTCTGTGAAGACCCACCCACAAATGGCCATACAGAAACATACAAGTATATGCACACCACACATAAATGCATTCAAAGATGCATGGCCAAACATGGCCAGGTACGGTGGCTCACACCTGTACTCCCAGCACCTTGGGAGGCCAAGGTGGGAGGATCGCTTGAGGCCAGGAGTTCAACACCAGCCTGGCCAACCTGGTGAAACCTCATCTCTACTAAAAAAATTAAAATTAGCCAGGCATGGTGGCACATGCCTGTAATCATGGCTACTCTGGAGGCTGAGGCAGGAGAGTCACTTGAGCCCGGGAGGCGGAGGTTGCAGTGAGCTGCGATCACTCTAGCCTGGGTGACAGCACGAGACTCTGTCTCAAAAACAAAAACAAAACGAAACAAAACCAAAGGTACAGACATGCTGCCAGCACTCCTACACAGTCCCAAAGACAGGAAGGCCAACAAGCTTGTGCACACACAGACAGATTTCCATGGGCACAGATACACAAGCAGAAACACCATTGAGGACAACCCGCCACTCTCACACATACCCACAAAAGCATAAACACATACACTGGTTCACACCCTATGCTTGGGCAAACAGGCACATGGCTGGCCACGGTGACAGACGCACAGGTTGACACACTTGCATGTTCACACATTCCAAAACCACAGATCTGTATTTAACCCCACGCTTTCCTTCCCCTGAGCTCTTGTCGGGGACAACACACCTGGCGTCCCCATGGGCAGGCCAGGTTTACAGGTCCTGGTGACGGGGAAACCTGGAATCAGGCCTGGGTACTGCACTCCTGGTTGTGTGAACTTGAGCAGCTCTGTGCCTCATTTTCACATGCTCCGAAATGGAAAAATCACTAAGATCACATGTATAATCCTGGACAGTGCTCAGAGGTCTCTGAACTTGACATTGTCTTATCATTAACTTCATTTTTTGTTTGTTTGAGACCTGGTCTTGCTCTGTCAACCAGGTTGAAGTGCAATGGCACGATCATAGCTCACTGTAGCCTCAAACTCATGGGCTCAAGTTATTCTCCCACCTCAGCTTCCTGAGTAGCTGGGACTACAGGCGTGCGACACCATGCCTGGCTAATTTTGTTATTTTTTGTACGGTCGGGGTTTCACTATGTTGCCCACTATGTTGTCTTGAACTCCTGGCCTCAAGCGATCCTCCCACTTCAGCCTGCCAACGTGTGGGATTATAGACATGAGCCACTGTGCTTGGCCCATTATTATTGTCCTTGTCATCCTCCTCCTTGTAAACTGAACCGCTGGGCTGGGCACTCTATGAGAGTGGGTTCCAATCCCTCTGTGTCCCTGGCACTCAACTCTCCAACTTCACTTTCAGGGACTTTGTTTATCATACCTGAGAGTCAGCAGAGGAAACCAACAGCTGAAGGGCATAGCTCAAACCACAAGCTGCTGGGGTCTGCTCCTCTAGGACCTGGATCCGGAGCCCACCCCCAAGCCTGCCGACCACTGAGGGATGCCCACCTTGTGCTGAACCCCAAAAGAATGAGTTGCCTCCATCACCTGAGTCCTCTCCACAACTGGGAAGTGGGTGCCACGATTGTCCCCATTTTACAGATGGGAAAACTGAGGCCACACAGGACTGGGCCTGCAACCCAGATCGGCATGACCTCCAAGCTGTTAAGCCCCCTTATCCTCCAACGAGGCTTCTGGGTGTGGGCGTCAGAGTGGAGAGAGCCTGCATGCATTCCGCAATCACAGGGTGAGTCACGGCCTCAGGTGATGAGGTGGTACAGCCTAGGGGTTAGGTTTAGAGCTGAACAGAGCCAGGAAACTAATCACATAACTGCCCTGTGCCTTAGTTTCCCCATCTGTAAAGCAAGGATAGCAGTACTGCCCATCTCACAGGGTGGCTGTGAAGGCTGAGTGAGTATAAACATTACTACTATTTCATGTTAGCTAACAAGTGTCACTTACTTATTTTTCTTATTTAGTGGACAGAATCTATCCAAATGATTGAAAGCTTAGTCCAGATTAAAACAACCAATTATCCATCTATCCATGAACTCTCATCTCCAAAGAAAGAATGCAAAATAACCTGGAGCAGCCCTGGGGCTGGATGCCTGGGTTTGAATCCTGGCTGTGCCCTCAGCTGGGTAACGTGGAGTTCAGGTTCCCTGACCTATCTCCACTTCCTCCAGCTATAAAGTGGTGGTGATAACAGCACCAACTTCAGAGGGCTTTGGCAAGATCAGAATGAGTTAATAGATGAGCTTTTAGGACAAGGCCAGGCTCAGAGTAGATGCTGAAGAAGGGGTGGCATCATCATCGTCATCATCATCATCTTCTTCACCATCATCATCTTCTTCATCATCATCATCATCTTCTTCACCATCATCTTCATCATCGTCATCATCATCATCTTCTTCACCATCATCATCATCTTCATCATCATTGTCATCATCATCATTATGTCCTCGGGTTGGTGCCACCCCCCAGTGGGTGTTGGGCACTCGAGGGTTAATTTCAGAGTAGGGGAGGGAGGCTGTGGGCTTGGGGCAGGGCAGAGGTCCTGCCGAGTGTGACCACTAGAGGGAGCAGCTGGACCTGAACTGGCCCCACTGACAGCGCCCAATGCACCCTCCTGGAGCCAGGGGAGGGGGCTGGCGGAGAGTGGCCAGGAAGGGATGTCCCCAGCCCCCAGGGGCCTCTCCTCCCACCCCGCTCCAGTCTGCAGAGCGATCCGGTCCCCACCCTGGTGACATCGTCCTCCTGCTCCCGCAATAGGGTTGAGTGGGGAATCTGGGGAGGGGGCTGGCGTGAGTGGTGGGACGGCTCCAGCCCTTGGTGGCCCCTCCCCCTCCTGTGGGGCTGCCCAGTCCCTTCCCCAAGGCTGACCTTCTCATGGCCTCTGACCCCCTCCTCCTTCCCACCCTACTCTGCCGGGTGCATCGGGTGTCCAGTGAACCCCTTTCCCAAACCTTCAGGGAGTAGGGACGTGGGAGGAGGCAAAGAAACTACAGGCAGGGAGCTGGAAGGGGGGGGAAGGAGACAAGAAATCAAGACACCAGGCAGCGGGACGCACACACTCACATACGCTCACACACATAGAGGCCAACAGACAGACAGCTACCCAAAGCCTGAAAGACTGACAGCAACACAGAAAAAGACAAACACACAGAAAGAGAGACAAAGACAGAAATAGAAAGAGACTAACACGCAGAGTCAGAAATACAGAGACAGAAAGACAGGGAGAAAGAGAAACAGAAAATTAGACACCAAAGAGATACGAACAGGGAGGAAGGCCGACTGAAGGAAAGACGGAGAAGAGGAGAGAGAAGCCAGGGCCAAGCGTGCCAGCTGGCGGATGGAGGGCGGCCTGGTGGAGGAGGAGACATAGTGGCCCAGGCTGAGCTGGGTGGGCCGGGAGAAGCGGGTGCCTCAGCGCGGGGGTGGGGGCATGGGAGGGGCAGGCATTCTGCTGCTGCTGCTGGCCGGGGCGGGGGTGGTGGTGGCCTGGAGGCCCCCAAAGGGAAAGTGTCCCTTGCGCTGTTCCTGCTCCAAAGACAGCGCCTTGTGTGAGGGATCCCCGGACCTGCCTGTCAGCTTCTCTCCAAACCTGCTGTCACTGTGAGTGTCCAGCCCTCTGCACACCCAAAGGTGGGGATGGAAGTCCTGGGACCCCAGAGGTCAGGATGTGGTGCTGAGTCCCCAGGGAAACAGGGGCCCATCAGGATCTCAGGAGATGGGCAGCAAAGGCTGTCGGGATGCCATGAAGAGGAGTGCTGGCGTCTGGGAGGGAGCAGAGGGAAACCCCAGAGGGCAGGAACAGCATTTGGGGCCCAGGAAGAGGGTTGAGTGCTGTCAGGGTCCTTGTCAAGCCAGGAGGGCAAATGCCTGCCTCCTCTGGCATGCAGGGGAGACACACCCAGGGTTAGGGTGGCATGCTGGGGTCTCCTGGATGGCAGAAGGCTCTGGTTTGGGACTGGAGCATTGCTGTGGTGTCCCCCTCACCTACCACTGCCCACATCCCCAGCTCATTCGTCAGGACTGGAGTCACCCAGCTGAAAGCCGGCAGCTTCCTGAGAATTCCGTCTCTGCACCTGCTGTGAGTGGGGCCTGGCTGGGCCGACAACCAGTGCAAGGGAGTGGGCGGTCATGCACATGTGTGGGAATAAATGCTCACACAGATGTTAGGTGGGTGTTCGTGCACGTGTGTGGGGGTGTGT